AGAATGTTTGGAAGAAAAAAGATGAAGAGCAGAAAGTGGCAATTTTATCGTACATCACTTGGGTTTATTGATGCTTTCCCCCTTTTGGCTTTTATATTCTCTCCCCTTGTTATTTCCCTTATCATTATTATTTATGTATCACCATTATATCATTAGTAGTAGTATTCTATTGTACTTTGGTTACTAAACTTTTTTATCGTAACCCATGGGGTTTATACTCTTCCATTCTCCTCCCCATCCCACCAGGGGTGAGTGAGCAGCTGCTGGTGCTGAGGCTGGGTTAATTGCCTGGGTTAAACCACCACAGACCCCTTTTCGGCATCATGGTGGGGCCAAAGGATTGAGCTAATGGCAGGTCTGACCAGATGTGTCCAACCAAATCCATTACAACAGCCATTGCAGTGGGTTCACAGTCTCTGCTCAGTGCCAGTTGATTTGCTCTTGGAGTTGTTGCTCTGAGTCCCAGAGTTGTGTTAGGTCCCACCTTACTCACAGTGTATGTTCCTGCAGTGACATTTCTCCTTCAAGGGGCCTGGGCTGAGGTGGTTCTTCTACTGTTTAGTAATGGCTTGTAATGTGATAGAATTGCTGGTGTGACACTACTCTGGACACTATTCAGCATTGCGTCACCCCTGTGCTTTGGGCTCAGAGGACCAACTTCTGGAGAGGATATTCCATCCCTTCCTCTCCCCACCAGGCTATTTACAGCAGCATGCGAGAATTGTAGACTCTGAGTATCTTTTGAGTACCTTTGAAACAACCTACTCCTTTTGATGGGAACCAGCACATTGCTGCACATGGCTCAGGTCTTGAGGTTAAACATCTCTGAGAACAGCACCGGGAGATGGTCCCAAGCTGGACAGTTGTGAGTGCAGGTGTGTGGAGAGTGTGAGCAAGGACCTGGCCAGAGGCACCTCCAGAGCTTTGGAACTTCACCCCTGGACAAGTGCAGAATCCAGAATAACCAGTAAAACACTGGGAAAAGTCTGCTGGGAATTTCAGAGAGGCCAAACCACAGCAACAAGCTCGGCTAGGCCCTGCCACTGACCTGTTCAGCACCAGCCAGTGCCCTCGAGGGGGAGAGAAGGTCTGGATGTGATGGCAAAGCACAGGCACTGCAGCTACTCCAACACCAGCTACAAGCATTGCAGCTACTCCAACCAGTGTGCACCTCAATGGGATTTGATTTGGGGTGAGAGTAGGCAGTAAGTTGAGCTGTGTAATGCTGTAGAACATTGGATATTGTTGCTTTACAACAGCTACACAACCCCTCACTGCACTGGATACCTCGTGGTACCATCTGCCCTGCTCCAGATTTGGGGATCTGAACCTGACTCCCTTTGGATCCCCACATTCAGGAAAAATGGACTTTGATAGAACTGGACAAGCACAGGAGGGATAGGATCAGGATGAGCTTCAGCATTCAACAACTCAACACCACATACCATCATCCTCCCTGCCTGAGACTGCTGTGACAGATGGAGCCCCAGGGGACTGAGATCTCTCTGTGTATGTATCTGTATCTCTGTCAAAAGACAGGAAAGGTGCTGGTGACAAGTGTGAGGCCTGGCATGATGCGACTGGGATGGAATAAGGGGTGGCTGCTCTCCTAGTTGGGCTGGGATAGTTGATTTTCTTCCTGGCCGCTGGCCCACTGCTATGCTTTGCTTTAGGCTGACACTAAAGCTGATCCAGCTCCTTATCAGCTGCTGCAGCAGCACTGCAGCATTAGATGCAGCTGATTAGCTGATATATGACATGAACGGGAAAGAATTAATGGAAAACACTACCAGGTAACTGTGGATGCATTTGGAATTTTCCAATATAACATTGCTCTGGCTTTAGCTGCATCCAAACTCAACTGTGGCTACCATCATAAGAGAGGGTTATGAAGGCACCTCAGCCACTGAAGTTCCAAAGTGATCTGGGACAATGCAGTTGAAGTGGAAAGAGAATTCCAATGCTGGTAACACCAAGTGAATTTGACTTATAAAACAGGGACAGGAAAATCACAGCCTGTGTCCTGACAACCTGTGATGCTTCAGTATATACCACAGACCCAACTATTCCCCTAGGATTAAACCAAACTCTATTCATGACAGCAGAAAGTATGAGCCCAACGTGGAGATAAAAGGCAAACTGTTGATGTTGGTGTGTTCTCAGCATTAGTCTCAGACTAAAACCAAAGCACTGCACCAGCAACTAGGGAGAGAATTAACTCTGTCCTAGCTGAAACCAGGCTAGGAAACACCAGGGGTTTAGTTGTAACAGTAACATCATTAAGGCCCAAGACATTTGTCTTGACACTGACCAAAATGGTCATCATTTTGAAATGATGAGATACCTGACACTGAACTTTTACATACTGGAACTGGGATTCCATGTTTATGGATGGCACTGATGTAGAAATACCCAAGTACTCACATACCTGGAGGTGGGACTTTACTGAAATCACAGGATGAGACTTTAATTTTCCAAGTCCTGTTCCATCTTTCCAGCTGCTTCAATCTCATGCTATACCCCATCAGGATTCTGGTAACCCACTGGAATGAATCTCACGTTGGTGAAGAACCTGTTGCAATGTAATGACCTGAATCAGCTGCTGAAGCAAGTTCAAACTAAGGGACAGAAGACTGGTTACAGTGTACCACAACGCAGAAAGGTCACACCACGTCCTAGAAAGAGTGAAGAAGGACAGAGAACATCAGTGGTGGGAGACCCCTGTTCAGATGAACAGCATGGTCAGGTTTATTTTCAGGTGGTCATGTTCATGTTCAGGTCATGAACAGCAACTGGGACTTTAAACCCAATGTTACATCTTACCTTAATTTTACTACTTTCTGCTACAGTGGGGTTGTTGCTAAAGGTTCTGCTGTACATTAGAACATGGAGATGAGCTGGACAAGTGACATTACTGCAGAATCCTCCTCACGTGTTTAATGTTGCTTAATCTCCTCTAACAAAATCTTAACAATTGAATAAACCCACCAAAAACGTCCCTCAATTTGTAACTGGAATCCAGCACTGCTCTGATCATAGCACAGAGGCAAGAGGCCACCACACCACCATGCTGCGAGAAAGATGGAGTGACTTTAGTCATGAGGCAGGCTGTGGTGGTGGATACCTCCCTCCCCTCTCCTGGATGCCTCTGCTTCCCCAGGGATTCCTGCTGGGCCCCAGCCTTTGCACAGGAGTTGGGTGCTGGGTGCTCCCTGGCCCTGTCAGGAACTTTTAATTGCCTAACACAGGCAGGAAGCACCACACAGCTATCAGGAAGGTCAGATACTCCGTTAACTATCAGGAGTTCTTTTAGGATGGTCAGTCATTCCCTGACAAAGAACGGAGGCCAGGAGGAAAATTTACTGACTAAAGCCAACTCTTAAAGCATGTCAACAGTGGTGCCAAGAGACACCCTTTGAGCTCTCCTGGACCCAGTGATCTCTCTCGGAGTGGGATACCTCTAAGATCCCCCAAGCTTTCCAAGTTCAGGAAATAGGGGGATCATTTGCTTGGGGTGTTCCTGCTGCTGACACTCAACCTTTGCCTGTGAAGAGTGCTGAAAGGGCTGATGTGAGTGTATTATCAGTACTGCACTGTATACTGCATCCAAGAGAAGTACATGTATATAATCTAGTATAGCTATGTAAATATATGTCTACACATCTCTATATCCATCTATCTCCATGTGAGTATGTTGTGTTAGGTCAGATACTCCATTGTAAGTGCACGTACATGAGCTTCAACAGCAAACTGTTGTTAGAAACCGTGTGTTCATTTGAACAATCCAAACTGCTGCTCAAAGACATTTGTAGTCCCTGTTCTCCAGGCCTGAGACCAGGAGTAGATCTGGCCACACTGAGGCTGGGTTAGGATAGAAGTGGGTCTAGTCTGAACCTCGTGACTTCATGGGAGGTCTCCCTCAGTCCTTTGTATTTTCAGCTTCTATACACATTATTTTAATTCATTTCTGTATAAATCACTGCCAATTCTGACATAATCTCTTTTGTGTGCAAGAGTGGGCCATGCCACTGAGTTCTGCTGAATCCCACATTTACAGATTTCTATTAGAATTACTTTTGTTACTATCTCTGATGGTGATTCTTCTGGCGATCCTCAGCGCTCAGTTTTGTGACAGCGCTCCAGCCCTCACAGCATCTCTGTGGCCTCCTCTGGACTCGCTCCAACAGCTCCACGTTCCTCTTGTGTTGTCGCCCGAACATCACTAGCAGTATTCTATTGCGCTTTAGTTACTAACTGTTCGTATCTCCACCCTCGGGGTTCAAGCTCTTCCATTCTCCTCCCACCCCGCCGGCGGTGAGCGAGCGGCTGCAGGTGCTGAGCTACCGCCTAGGTTAAATCACAGCAGGTGGCCGCAGCTTCCCGGCGGCTGGAGCGCTCGTGTCAACGATTTCTACCGGACTCCCCTGAGCGCCGCTCTCAGACCGCCGGAGCAGCCCCCGGTGCCGGCCCGCGACCCCGCATCCCCCCCGCTGCGCCTCCACGGACGGCCCCAACCCCGGCAGCGCCGCAAGCCCCGCCGCCGCCTCGCGAGGGCTGTCGGGACGGAGCGGCACCGGCGGCGCGGATTGGCCCGCTCTCCTCACGTGGCCCGGGCCGGCCGTCAGGACGCCGTTGCTTCCGAGGCGTGACTTCGGCCCCGGCGGCGATTGGGTGCGCGCTTTAGCGCGACGGCGGCGTCCCCCGCACGTGACGTGGGAGCGGGGTCGGAGTCGGCCCCGGGAGCCCGGCGGCGGTAGTGGTGAGTGGGGCCTGGCCCGCCCCGGCCCTTGCCCCGCCCGGCCAGCGCCTCCCCTCAACGGGGGGCCCCGCAGCCCTGCGGCGCGCTCCCCCTTAGAACGCCGGCTTCTGTCTCCCCTCAGCACCAGGGCCCGGGTGCCTCTGCAGCTCCGCGGCCCGCTCCCCCTCGGCTCCGGCTCCGCGGCGCAGCCGGTGCCCGGGCTCCGCGCAACGCCCCGCGGTGCGGGGCTGGGGTCGTGCTCACGGGCTGGGGATTATCCCCGTCTGGGCCAGTCGATTCCTCCCGCAGCCGTTCGGAACGGAGCGCTGGGGCGGGCAGGAACAGCCCCGCGGGGGCTACCCCGGGGCCAGCGCTGACTCTTTCTCTCTGCCGGTTGCGGCAAGCGGGGCCTCTGTTGTTTCCCAAGAAAACTTGAGAATTAAATGGCTCGTTCCACTTCTGATGTCCTCCGTTACCTGTAACCAGCCGGTGACATCTGTACTTGTGCGGCTGGGGCAGAGCTCCTCTGGTGCAATGGGAACTATGCCCTGAGGAGTGGTAAGAGTTGGCCATAGCCATGACAGAGCCCCACAGGGTTTCGTTCACCACTCTCCATGGTCCACTGAGCAGCACCTTCCTGAAGAGGTCTCGGAAGGATGATGCGGAGCAGCCCCAGGACGTGGAGCCGGCTGCCACTGCCGTTCGGATCACACTCACCCTCTTTGAGCCAGACCACAAACGTTGCCCTGAATTTTTCTACCCGGATCTTCTGAAGAGCTGTCGAGGCAAAATAAAAGGTGGTTCTTCGGGAGACAAGGTGAGCGTCCTTGTGGCCTGTGGGGACCTGTCTTGTAACTGAAGATCATAGAATCATGGAATGGTTTGGGTTGGAAAAGACCTTACAATCATCCAGTTCCAAACCCCTGTCACGGGCAGGGACACCTTCCACTAGACTAGGTTACTCCAAGCCCCGTCCAACCTGCCCTTGAACACTGCCAGGGATGGGGCAGCCACAGCTTCTCTGGGCAACCTGTGCCAGCGCATCAACATCGTCACATGGAAGAATATTTTCCTTATATCTAATCTGAACTTCCCCTGTTTCAGTTTCAGCCCCTCGTCCTATCACTGTAAGATTTGAAAGGCTTGTTCAGCATTGTTGTTGGAGTGTGTGTTGAAGCTGGGAGGTGCCTGAGGTGGAAGGTGGAGAGTCAGGCATCCTGCAGGCAGAACTGGCATGCAGGCAGGGGCTCTGTTTTCCGGCCCCACTATCTCACTCCTTTGCCTTGGCTGGAATTTCATGTTCCAAAAGGGGATGTTTTGTTGGTGGAGCATGGGACATAATGCTCCTTTTGTTTGAAATTACAGTGATTTTTGGTACCTGGCTTGCTGGCAGCCAGGAGGAGAGATGCTTCCACAGTATTTGGTTGTGCCTTTTGGGGACCCTGCTGTACTGCATGTGTGGGTGTTTTCTGTGAAGTGAAAGTTGTTTGGGCTATACTTGGGATTGCAAGTTCTCTTCTGAACTGTTTAGCAGTAAATTCATGGTTCATGCTGCTTAGTTTTGTGTTTTCTTTTGAGAGTTGGGAAGAGCAGAGGTGGGCGCAGAATAGTCTGAGAGAGCACCCACAGCCTTGAGACACTCCCAGAGTCACAGATGGGTCTGAACTGGAAGGGACCTTAAGATCATCCAGTTCCAACCCCCTGCCATGGGCAGGGACACCTTCCACAAGACCAGGTTTCTCCAAGCCCTGTCCAACCTGGACTTGAGCACTGACAGGGATGGGGCAGCCACAGCTTCTCTGGGCACCCTGTGCCAGCGCCTCCGCACCCTCACAGGGAAGAACTTCTGCCTAAGAGCTCATCTCAGTCTCCCCTCTGTCAGGTTAAAGCCATTCCCCCTTGTCCTGTCCCTACAGGCCCTTGTCCAAAGCCCCTCTCCAGGTTTCTTGTAGCCCCTATAGGAACTGGGAGCTGCTCTAAGGTCTCCCTGGAGCCTTCTCCAGGCTGAACCAGCCCAGCTCTCTCAGCCTGGCTCCAGAGCAGAGCTGCTCCAGCCCTTGCAGCATCCCCATGGCCTCCTCTGGACTCTCCCCAACAGCTCCACGTCCCTCTTGTGTTGTTTCCCCAGAGCTGGATCAGGACTGCAGGGGGGCTCTCCCCAGAGCACAGCAGAGGGGGAAAATCCCCTCCCTCTCATACTGCTCATGCTCTGGGAGTGCAGCCCAGCACACGGGGGGGTTCTGGGCTCAAGTGCTCACTGAAGGCGGGTCATGGGGCTTCAGTGACCAACACCCCCAAGTCCTTCTCCTCAAAGGAGAAGGACTCCTCCATTCAGTGTCTGCCAGCCTGGGGAGTCTTGTTTGCGCTGGGCATCGCCTCGATCCAAATGCAGGACCTTGCACTTGGCCTTTTGATCTCCATGAGGTTTGCACGATGTCACCCCTCCAGCCTGTCCAGGTTTCTCTGAATCCCTTCCTTTTCCTCCAGTGTGTCAGCTGCAGCACACAGCTCTCGCTGATGGTGCATGCTCTTGATTCCACTCTGTAAGTGGTTAGTGAAATACTAAAAACTATGCTATACTGAAGGTTGATGTGTCTGGACTTCACCTGGTTGCTCTGGTTGTGATGGATTTACTGCATGGGGTTTTGGTGGCAGCATGATGGGTTGATTCTGATGCTTTTGTCTCTTTTCTTTCTCTAGAAGAAAGACCTGGCTGATCCCTTTAATGATGACGAAAAGGAAAGGCATAAAGTAGAGGCTCTGGCAAGGAAGTTTGAAGAAAAATATGTATGTTTTTGTTACCTTCTGTTATCCCTTAGAATGGGCACTGCTGTTCACCTTTCAGCCTGTAGTATTCATTCTGTGGCCACTGGCTCTCACCTTCTTGTTCTCTGGCAGTCCTGTTCTCACCTGGAAGCTGCTGTTTTCTTGTTCTTTTTCTGTCTCAGGCCCGTGATCCCCAAAAATAGTTCTGCTGCGTTCTTCAATCAGATGAGTCTGAAATTGAACAACCTTCTTGCTTGTAGTGGCAAATAACTTACTGTAATTTATAAAATTTAATCTTCTTGGGCAAAAAAGAATTTCTAGGCCTGGTGGCTGTGGCATGATGCAGTCTGTCAAGTCTCTAAGTTCATTGTGTGGTGGGTCTTCTGCTGTCAGGACAGCACTGGCTGCATAGCTTGAGAGAAGCAGATCTGTCTTGCCTGTTTCCTCTCTGTTCTTCCCCTCCCTTTACTTCTGTAGGTGGCAATAAAACTATGTTCTGCTTTATAAATGGCACTTTGGATAGTGAGTTGTATTGTCTTGTGATACAAATCAGACCTGTGGGTCACTCTCATGTGCTTGATGTATATAGTTTGATTCGTCTAGTACCATGTTTGTATGTACTATGGAGCAGTTCTGGAAGAACACTCCATCCCTGCACTGGCAGAAATGTGGAAGGGGTACAGACCCAGTTCAACCTAAACTCTGTTGGCACAGCATCAATCTGTTGGGCAGCCCACTGTTTTGTTTCATTTGGCTGCACTGGTTTTATTCTGTATGACAAGGCCTAAACCTGGATTTACCATATCTTGAGGTTACAGCATGGTGGGAGTTACTGGTGGTCTCATTCTCCTGCTGCTTGGAGCACAAAAGATTGTGTTCCCTTTCCTGTGCTGGAGCTGTGTCAGTGTCCTGTGCTGGGGCTCTCCCATGGGAATTGGGAAACGGGCTGAACACTGTCAATCTGTTCTTGTTTAGGGTGGCAAGAGACGCAGGAAGGACCGGATTCAGGACTTGATTGACATGGGGTACGGATATGATGAATCCGACTCCTTCATCGATAACTCTGAAGCGGTGAGGCTGGGAGCGTTGGGAGGGTGGTTAAAGGTGCTGCTGGGTCTGAGCTCGCACCTGGGGGGAACCTGTGTGGGGTGTGAGCCAGGAGTGTGCCAGGGCTGGGAACAGGATATCCCATGGGAACAGGAGATCCCAAGGGAAGGGGAGGTGCTGGGGGAAGCTCCCAGCAGCAGAATGCCAGTTACGAGGTGTGTGCACGGCCTGTCTGTTCTTGGGGAGCACAAATCCTGCAGTTCATTCTGTAGCTCAGCTGCTTACAGTGCTAATGGATTGTTCTGGTTTATCTCCAGTACGATGAGCTTGTTCCAGCTTCGCTTACTACAAAGTATGGAGGGTTTTACATCAACTCAGGAACGCTGCAGTTTCGCCAAGCATCTGAATCTGAAGATGACTATGTTAAAGAGAAGAAGAAGAAGTGTCCCAAGGTCAGCAAGGCACCTTTCTCAGTTGTTTCTTCTGTTAATGCTCAGAGGGTTTCATAGAATCCCAGACTGGTTTGGGGGTTGATGGAACCATAAAGCTCATCCAGTTCCAACCCCCTGACATGGGCAGGGCCATCTTTCACTAGACCAGGTTGCTCTAAGCCCTGTCCAGCCTGGCCTTGAATTTTTGCTGTATTTCCTGTGTGAATGGCATGTGGACTTTCAGAGTAGGGCAAGGTTTGTGAATTGGTGTGGACAGAATAGGGATGAGCCCTTGAAATCTTTTTCTGTCCCTGTATTTGACAGTAAAATGGGGGGTGTCTGGTATGGATGAGACTCTGGTGGTGTTGCCTGATTCTGAGAGTAGAGGTGACAGCAGCCCCCTCTCATACTAACCACGTGTGGGGTTTGGGTTCCAGTGAGGGAGGAGCTGGTCTCCTGTTCTTGGGCTCTGGGGGTGCAGGGAGCATTGTAGGAGACACTTTAGTCATGACTTGGTTTTAATCCTCTCTAGAAGCGGAAGTTGAAAGACGGAGGTGAAAAAATGAAGAAGAAAAAGAAAGATGATTCTTACGACAAGGAAAAGAAATCCAAGAAATCCAAGTTTCCCAAAGCTGGGTAAGGAGGGGAGAGAGAGCTCACTGCTGGACACTCTGCTTCAGGGTCACAGTGCCATTTGTCACACTGCAGTGGTATCTGTTGCAGTGCAGGTGGCCTGAGTGTGAGCAGTGGAACCACCAGCCCCTAGCGCCCCATTGTTCCACAGTGGGTGACAAGAGGCAACTGGATCAGGGAGGGAGCAGAGCTCCACAGCAATGGTGTGTGAGCACAAGCACCACCACTGGAGCAGTGGTGGTGTGTTCTGGAGCTCTGTTGAGACGGTGATGGTTGGCACAGGGATTGGAGAGCCTGAGGAGCAGGATAATAACTACAGGGACAAAGCTGGGGGAGGAAAGGCAGGCAGGAAGGGCAGGAACTCAGAGCTGTGCGCGGGTCAGGCTAGTGGGGAGGAATTGGTTAGAAGGCTTTGAGTGACCATAGCAGAAAGGCAAGTTGTGTATTGCTGCTCTCGCTGGCAGTTGTTTGTACTCCTGCCTGAAGTATTTCTTGGATGAGTGATCACCCTTCTGTATTGCTTCTCTCCTTCTGGCTATAAACCTGAGTGGCTATTTGTCTTGATGAGTTCTTTGGTTCTGTTGCTTTGCTTTGCATGGCCTCTCTCTTTCAATGTCTGTATCTGTTTTTTTGTCTATTTTCCTACATTTTCCTCCTATCTTTTTCATTCTTTCTTAATTATTCTTTGGGATTTCCTTTTTTCTGCATGGATATTCTTTCTAGCAGCACCAAACCACACATCTGACATGGTACTGTCAGTGCATGGTTCCTTCATAGTGAGCTGGGAAAAGTAATTTGCTTTCCTGGTTTTAACAGGCAAAATGTATCAAGCTGTTGTCATACTAACTCACTCCTGCCTCAGTTCGTCTCCACTAGTGTGTTTCCCAATATTGCATGCTGGAGTAATGCATGTAGGTAGTAAGAACATTGTTTGGTTGTGATGGTTCTAGCTCCATCACCTCTCTGCAGTGAGGAAGAGAACAGCCTTCTCGGAGCTTAACAAGCAGAGGGACCTTAAGAGCACCTTAAGAGGCAGTAGAATGCTCTTCCTGGTGTAACTGGTTGTTGCATTAAGAGACTAACAACTGGTTGTTGAGAATAGATAATTCTTTTGGCAGAAAATAAACCCCCCTGGCTTTCCAGCTAGTCCTCAGATATTGGAGCGGCTAGGTGCGGTGAGGCTTAGATTCTGGGTGATGCCCAGTTTACCACTTTCAGTCCAGTTGTGTTGGATATATTGCACTGTCGCGATTCTGGATGCACTAATAGCGCCCTGCACCTTCAGCCTCATTGTGCTCAGGAACTAACATGGCCACACTTAAAAGGATTTGGTCCTGTTCAGTGAGAAAACTATTACGATTAGCTACTTCAACAGTGCAGTTTGTTGAAGCAACAGATACAGGTTCTTATGGATTGCCGGTGATAAATACACCGTCTGCAGAAAGCACGTGCAAATGATAGGATTGTGAATTGTACAAACGCGCGACAAAGTTATGAATCAAACAGCCTGGCTTCAAAATGTAGAAGTAGAAAGTGACTCTATATAGAGATTCCTAATTTTCCTGGGAATCACTTGGTACAGTGCAAGTCTTACCCAAAGGCATCCCTATGTGGGGGCAAAGGAAGGTCCAGCCTGTCGACCAGTCCCAGGAGTCAAGGATAATCTGCTGATGGAATCTTCCTTGACTTGTCCACAAGGATGTCTTCCCTGATATTCCCCCTTCCTTGGGCCATTTTTATACTGTTTTTCCCCTTCAAGGTGGATCATGAGCAACTCTAGTCATACATACCTTTATTATTATTGGTGTAAAATTCTCTCGCTTCACTGATAAAGGTATATACCAAAAAGAATTCAAAGGGCATGCTTGAGGAGGGGTGATCTCACCTTGGAGGCAGGTAGCTTTGGAGATGGAGGTGTGTTTTTGTATTAAAATGAAGCAAAGTTCGTACAAAGGACAACATTTTGTCAAAAGATGACAGACTGCTGGCTCAGGGTAGCACGTATGCATCTCACCCATCCTTATCAGTTTTTTGTAGCACCTAGTTCCCATCTCTGCTTGTGTTATGACAGAGCTTGGCCGCAGAATCTGCATTTGGCCCCATCCTAGTGCAATGTTGCCACAGGAACCGCTGTGGAGCGAGTTCCTTGCATACCAGGTGCAGACGCACCTTACCCTGAAGGTGCGCTTAAATTTATACCTTTCCGTTATGTGTGAACAATGCTACATTTTCAAATATAAGTTTAATTTCTAAATCATGCTCAGTAATTATTTCACACTGGTCAAGGGGCTGAGCCTTCCCGGGGGATTGGTGCCTATGGCTGAAGTGAGCTGGGATGAAGGTTTCTTCCTCTCTGCTCCTTCATCTTGTATTTAGTTCCCTTTCCTCCTCCCTACTCTGTTTACAGCTTTACGGCATTAAATGCTAGTAAGGAGAAGAAGAAAAAGAAATACTCTGGAGCTCTTAGTGTCAAGGAGATGCTGAAGAGGTTTCAGAAGGAGAAGGATGCTCAGAAGAAAAAAGATGAAGAGCAGAAAGTGGTGACTCCTTCACCAGCAGAACCCCCAGCCCCAAGGGAGGCAGAGGCGACGGCCGACCCTTTGCTCTCACTCTTTGGCCATGCCAGTGACAATGACCTGCTTCAGGCAGCGACTGCTATGGACTCCTTAACTGACCTCGACCTGGAGCGGCTCCTCAGTGAGTCCCCAGAAGGGAGCCCCTGTCCTGACGTGGAGGATGGGAGCAATCCTGCAGGGATGGGTTTGGAGCAGGATTTCAAGCAACCACCCTCTCTCCCAGATGGCCTCCCAGCCCCTTTGGAGAAACGCATCAAAGAACTGGCTCAGGTAAGGCAGGTCGCTGCAGGGCACTGGGATTGTGGGGTTACCAGAGAGGGGACAGTCCTGCTGGGTTTGGGTAGCTGCTCCCATAGTGGAATGGGGAAGCATTCTCCAGTGGGATTGTTCTGCAGTGCTGTGTGGGATCACACCTTTGTGTCACCTGGGTTTCTCTTATGGCCAAGTTGCTTCTTGAACACCAATGTCAGGGAGTGACAGATTCCTTGGCATTGTTACCTACTGCATGTAACACTCAATATCCCACCTGGCAGCAAGGCTTCTTTACCTCTCCTGTCGAAGTATGGACCTGATGCCACAGGTAATTTCCAAAGTAAATTGAAAATAAATCAACTTAAAATGCAAACTGAGGCTGAAGGACTAATTCCAGTGTAATGGTTTTAACGTGCTGTTGACAGTCAGGATGTAGTGTATGAAGTGGTGTGGGGTGTTCTGTGTGTGAAATGAGTGGGTGCAGCTGGAAAGCATTACCTGTTCTGCAGTGTGAGAAGGCACGAGAAGCCCTGTAGATGGGGCTTGAGGGTTTGTTAGAAGCATTTTCCGTGTCATATGCAGGCAGATGCCTTCCTGAAACACAAGTTCCAGAGCTGTGTCACTGGCAGTTTGGGTTCTTTACCCATCTTTAACATATCAGTGTTGGGGTGTTGTTTAGGGAGTGGAATATATTCATTTCTAGAAGGTTGCCACGTAGCTTCTCCTGCAGCTGAACTCCTGTGGACTCTCCCATCTTCTCCATAATGTTGTGATGTTTTGGGAAGTGCAGTTCTGGAGGAGCTGGGAAGTACCTGGTACTGGTCAGGGATCCTTCTCCTGGCCCGTCAAAGAAGTGTGCTTTCAGAGCTGCTGTGGGGCTTCTCTGCTGTGAGGGCTGTTCCCATCAGCCTGACAAATGCTGAGATGTTTTGTTCCTGCTACTAGTGATGTTTTGGAACATTGATTTGCATTGATTTGTAAGTTGTAAACGGTGCTCTCAGGCCTGTGCAGTGGTTTGTGTTCTGCCTCCCAAGGCACATGGATTTAGAACACCTGCTAGCTGAGCAGCTCCTAGTAACTTCTGTTACTAAAGACAAGCTTCTGTTAGAGATCTGTGTTCTGCTGAGAAATGTGAAGTGTATATAGTGGTGAGCTATGGAAGAGGAGGAATCGAAGTAAGTATTGCCACAGCTGATAAAAATAATGGTCTGTTCATGGGTTTCTGTTTGCTGTTCAGGCTGTTAACAGAAACCCCTGAAACAGCTGTTCCTGAGCTATAGCTGAGTTAAATGAGAATGTTATGGAGGCTCTCATGATATCAAATTGATTGTTATGTTGCTGCAAAATAGGCACACTACCCACAGATTTTCCTGCTCTGTGCCTGTTGGTGAACTGTGTATGTTAAGGAAAGAAACTATGGTGGAGAAATAAAGATTTAACAAACTGAAGCCTCTGGGGCAGTTAGGAATCTGGGACATAAGATCTGTTGCATGTGGGAAAGAAGAGGTACCAGTCCTCTGTCTGAGGAAAAGGTCCCTTCATCCCAGCAGGTGGGAGCATCTCCTGAGTTAAATGGAGCCTCCAGGCATTCCCTCTTCTACTTGAATTGGTTTGACTTTAACCCTCTCCTTGTTTGAGGATTCTCTTTAGCATTGAGCCTTCTCCTTTGATATAGCTGTGTGTGACTGGCTGCTGACGGAGATGAATGTGCCCCTTCTGGGCATAAATCAATTACTTCCTAGCCAAACCTTGGAGTCTTAAATAGGGGATTTCAGAATCAGGCCCTGTCCTTCTCTCCTGGTCTCCTTTCCTATGCAAGGAATCACTAACTTGATGTGGTGCCTTGTGGTCAATCCCAGTTTTGTTTACAGCCCCACTCAGAAGAGTCTGAAAACTCTTGGCAGTTTTCTACTATCTTGTTCAGCTCTTGGAATTATTCCCCCCTGGACATGTTTTCCATGGGTGTGATGTTTGGGCAGCACTGTGTGTGCTGCAGTCATAGCTCAGGAAGCTTCCTGAACAGGATTTATTCATTATTTTCTTTTTAGTTTCCATGGTATTGATTGGGAATAACGCATCCCCTAGGGCTGCTATTCTTTCTGTTGGTTTCTTGGCTTAGTGTCCAGATTGAGCTAGAAAGCCTGGGGATAACTATCCCTGACCCTCATTCAACATGACTAAGATGATCTTTCCTGTTCAGGGAGAAGCTCTATGCTCACATTAATCAATCTAACAGCTCTAATGTGGAGTTATAACCATGCCCTCAAACTGCCCCTTCTCCCTGTGGGAAGCATGCCAAAAAAGCTAGTTGCGCCCAAGCCATCTCCTTTGCCCCATTCAATGGAGAAATCTTTACTCCAGTGTAGTAACTTGAGTGCATCTGGGCAGCAGAATCCAAAGTGCAAGGGTCTTTGGACAGGATGTGGTTTTACCAGTTCAGATGGCAGGGTTGGACTTAAATACTGGCACATGGTGATAAGGTCTCCCCTGAGCTTTCTTGACTCAGTGGTGAACAAGTCCAGCACTCTCAGCCTTTCCACACATGCTTCCCAGACCTTGGATCATCTTTGTGACCCTTCTCTGGATCCTCTCCAGCCTGTCCACATCTTTTTTGTATATAGTGGGGGCCAAGGCTGAGCACAGTATTCCAGGTGTGGCCAGACAAGCACTGAGCAGAGTGGGATATTATTTTTATCTCTGCGGGTGATGCCCTTGCTGCTTGCTTGCGTGTGTCTGTATATGGGAACTGATGGTGTCTTGTGTTATATCCTAATGTCCAGGCTGCCAGAGCTGCTGAGGGAGAAGGCAGACAGAGATTCTTCACTCAGGACATCAACAACATCATATTGGAGTAAGTGCTGCTGGGGGAGAAGAATAGAAAAGGAGGATATTGGGCAGAGCATTTTTGGGAAATTCAGGAGCAGGTTTAGCAGGAGTTGTGGGGTTCCTCGACACAGAACATGCCTAGAGTAACCTAAAAGTCTCCTGGAAGTGACTTTCAGATGAAGCATGATGTATGTCTGAGGTAGGAGAATGTTGGAGGGGCTAGATCCAGGCCTCCTGGTCTCAAGATGACGCTTGATATCCATGTACTTAAATTTGGTCATTTGACCTGTGATTATAGCTTGATAGAAAAACAGTAAATCTCTCCCTGTCAGAAATACCAGGCATGTTGTTTGCTGTTGAAAATATATGGAATATATTTACATATAAGCTAATATATATACATATATAATATATGTTCTTATAACTAGGCTACAGCTGCTCTGTTCAACTCGCTTTCTGTGCAGATTGGAGGAGCTCCATCACTGCTCTGTGGTATTGAGTCCCCCAGTTACAGAATGTCATTGTTGCTTCATGCAGTGGTTGAAAATGGTTTCATTCTTCTTCAGGTGCCCAATGAAAGCTGCTGAATGCACACAGCTTTGTGATCATCACAGAGTAATAACACTTACACAGAGGCTTTAATTTCATTAAGGTTTATCAAGCACTTGAATTGACAAAGGGAAGTTCGGGAGTCTGTTTCTCTCATGTTTCAAGTGGTGGTTGCTACCTTTCAGCATTCCAGTGCTGACTGCACAAATAGTCATCAGTTGTCAAACTGAAAACTTTATGCACATTCAGAAGAGATTTATATTTGTATGACTTTGCTGTAGAATCAGTTCCAGATTTTTACACTTAGTGACACTGAGAGGTGGCTTAAAGGGCTGCTCTCTAAGACATATAACCGTGTAGATCGATTTAGTGCACACTGGCACCTCTGCCCTTCTCACTGGGAAGTAAGTTCAAGCCCAAGAGATAAAGTTTGAATCTGTATTCTCCTGAGTTAGACTGCTGTAGATTCTGACATCAGCAGTGTGTACTGTCATTTCTCATTGCCTGTTGCTCCTGCACTTGAGTTGCCAGGAAGAGCTGCAGAATAAATGAGGGTGTTGACATCTTTTTGTTCCTTTTCAAGATCTTCTGAAACCAGATTAAAAGCCACAGCTTGGGACAAGGCTTTACGTCTGTTGTTTGAAACCCTGAAGAGCCATCGTGCATGCTGCTTGTACTTTATTCCTCTCTCCCTGCCTCCAGCTCTTTAGGTTGCATTGGGGCTGCATTTATGTTGTGCAGAGAACCGCTGCCAGGTCTCTGTTCAACGTTGTTTTTGTCTTGTTCCTCAGCATCGAGCTGCAGACCCGGGAGCTGAACAGCCAGATCCGGTCAGGGGTTTATGCCCACCTGGCTGCTTTCTTCCCCTGCAGCAAGGACACTCTGGTCAAGCGTGCCCGTAAGCTTTACCTCTATGAGCAGGTGAGTGGCTTTGGCAGCACAGCCCCATCTCGTGTGCAGGTTACTCCTGATCTCTGGAGCACAGGTGTTGTCTGTCTTCTGTGGTGGGGTCGTGCCCTCCGGCCCTCACAGTTCAGGCCATGCATGTGGTGATGTGGATCTGGGACTGGGCAGGTCTTGACCTGCCATGTTTGGCTGTCCTGGCTGGAAGATGTCATGTGATCCAGGCTGGACAGAGCCTTGGGTGACATGGTTTAGTGGGCAGTGTCTCTGCCCATGGCAGGGGGGTTGGAGCTAGATGATCTTAAGGTGCTTTCCAACTGTAACTATTCTATGATTCTATGTGGAACATCAGTCTGTTTGGTGATTGTTCTAGGGTGGTCGGTTGAAGGAACCTCTGCAGAAGCTAAAGGAAGCCATTGGAAGGGCCATGCCAGAACAGATGGCAAAGTACCAGGAGGAATGCCAAGCCCATACTCAGGCCAAGTTTGCCAAGTAAGCCCCTTGTTTGCATGTTGTACATCTGCAGCTCTGCTCAGCAGGCTCCCTGTCACCAGGAGGCTGCTCTCATGAAGTTTGAAACCTGTTTTTAGTCTGTAGTCAAAAATTGCTGATGGGCATTAGCTGGCCTCATCAAGCCGTGTGTGGTCTTTGTGCTACCCATGGTAGTGCCAACTGCAGCAGCACTGATGGGACCAGGATCTGGCTGGTGTTTCACTTCTGGAGGGTGTGCCTTTAGGATCATAGCGGTCTGAGAACAGGAAGGCTGGGCTAGTCCCATGGTCTCTATTTCACAATATTGGGAGATTTCTTAACCGTGAGCACTTGGCTCAGCTTGCAACCAAAGCAAGACATTTGAGCCCTCTTTCCATGTGTGTGTTACCATTGACTACTGAGACCTGAACAGTGTCATTCAGAGATACTTAACCCTCTCCTTGAGCCTCCAGGACAATGACTTCCACATTGTCTCCATTTTAGAATGCTGGAAGAAGAAAAGGACAAAGAGCAGCGAGACCGAGTTTGTTCTGATGATGAAGAGGATGAAGAAAAGGGAGGAAAGCGTGCTGCAGGACCACGAAAGAGGTTTCAATGGAATGATGAAATCAGGTTTGCATAATTTAGATACTAAGTGAACCTGTGACATGTCTTACTCTGTGCAGTTGGAAGTGGAGTATTTTGGTACTTGTGTCTTGTTTTCAGAGCAGTGCCGATCATCTGTAGTAAGTCAGCTTGGAGATTTGTGGCAGACTGTGCTCTTTATGGAAGCCACTGATTAACTCTCACCCTTATATAAATTGCTGATTTTAGGCACAAGCCAACTCTGAGAGAAGTGCAAAGAACCCTCTGTGCAGAGGCCAAAAGAGAGAGTGACAGATCTTTGGGAAAAGAAGGAACTCAGCTGAATTGCTGAAATCCTAGAGACTGGATTCTCACCAAGAGCAGATTCCGGTTCTGAAAGCAGTTACAGCTCCTGGGGATTGCTACCACTGGAGCCCAAGACTCTGACAAGAGGGTGCTGGAAGAAGGGAAGAGTGACAAAAGATAATGAGACTCAATCTCACTGTCCTTTTTGTCTGCTTCTGTAACAAGTTGGGGTGCTGGTCTGTAGATGGCTGATTCACTTAGAACAAAGCAAGCTTTGCTTCCTGCCTTCTGACTGCCTCTCAGTACAGAGGTCAGCAGAAAGGTTCAGTTCTGTGGTTGTTAGTGCCACAATTACAGGTGTCACTGGTTTAGTACCTCTGCTGGTTCAGGAGATTAAAGTGAGAAAGGGTAACATGTCTTTTCTGCCCTGGCACATGGATGTGTGCACACATGAAGCAGGGAATGTGCTTTTCCCTTCCTCTTTCTTGTGGAGGCAGCATAGGGTCTGTTTTACCGAAGCAGGGTGTCGTGCAGAGCCAGGTGTACCTAGGTGTGGTTATCCAGCCCTGGATAAGCAGAGTGACCTCCAACTCAGGGCACTTAATCCACATAACTGTATTTGAAATCTTCCTGTTCTTCAGGGAGCTGCTTTGCCACTTGGTGAAGATTAAGTTGGATGGTTATGACCTTGACAAGAATAAGGCTCAGTCTCTAGAGGATTATGTGAAGACCTTCCTAGATGGAGAGGTGAAGCCCCTTTGGCCAAAAGGCTGGATGCAGGCCAGGTGAGCAAGAATCAAGTTGTACCCTAGGGATTCCTTGTCCTGAGGGACCTTAGAAGGTCCTACCCCTGCTCAGAGAATGGCTAGCTTCAAAGTTAGATCAGAGTGCTCAGGGCCTTGTCCTGTGGAGTTCTGGAGATCTCCAAGAGTGGCCCCTGTTCCAGTACTAAATCACTCTTCATGAAATCTTTTCTTGCTTACACTCAGAATTCCCCTTGCCACACTGAACTGAATATTCCCTCTTTTTGCTTTTGACACTCTTGAGAAAGGTCTGGCTCCATCTTCTTCATGGCTCCCTGTGCTCCACACTCTTTAGGTAGTGGAAGACTGCCTTTAGATCCCTCCTTGGTCTTCATATTTTCCAGGCTAAGCAAACCAGTTCCCTCAACCTCTCCTTGTCTGTCATGTGTCCCTGTTCCTCAGCCACCACAGTGGCTGTTTCCAGTTTGTCAGTGTGTCTCTTGTATTGTGGGGACCCTGAAACTGGATGTTGCATCCAGATGTGACCTCACAAGTGCTAAGCAGAGGGGAATAAGTGTTTGAACTGCGAGCCGTGCTCTTGTCTAATACCTGCAAGTATACAGTTTGCTTTCAGCAGTACACCCTTGCAGCAGTAGTTCATGTTCGACTTGCCCACCAGGACCCTTGGGTCCTTCTCTGCACCCCTAGGTCCTTTTGTGCAGGGCTGTTACAGAGCCAGTTGGTCTCCAGCCCATGTTGCTGCCTGGGGTTATTTCCATCCCACCTACAGGACTTTGCCTTTGTTGAACTTCACAAGGTCTGTGTTGCCCCTTTCTCCAGCCTGTCAGTGTCCCTGTGAACAGCAACCCAGCCCTGCAACATATTCTTCTCTCTCTCTGTTTTCACATCACCCCCAAACTTACTGAGAGTGCAGCCGTGTTGTAGTCCAGGTTGTAAATGACTGTGTTGAGTTATCTTGGCCCCTGTATTGACCTCTGATGGATGCCACTGGTGGTGACAAGTTACAAGGCAGGACTGGCGCTGAGATGAGGCTGACTGGCCTCTGGTTTCTTGACTCTGTATTACAAAGGGTCACTTTGTAATCTTTCTCACAAAGGATACATTTTTCAGACTCTTTGGGAAGTCTTCCTTAGGGTATTCCCAAAAGAAAGCAAAGCAGAAAGTTTTATGGGCTTATGGAGTTGGACTGGACACATCAGAGAGTCAGTAGAGTAAGTAGGATTTTAGTGTGGTTTTCTTTACCCTATCTGGTGTCTTCACTGCTGTTTCCTGCTCTTTCATACCCTCCAGTATCCATGCCATTGAGCTGGCAGTTGCAGAGGGTCATTCTGGGACTGTCATCAGTGCCTGGCCTGCTTTGGTTTGCTCCATAGTTTTAAAGAAGGAACAACTGTACAGTCTTAGTGCTGGAACCTCCATCTTTTTGCCTTTAAAGAGCTGGGCAGCCTTGTTGTCTTCTCTTTGCTGAATTTGCTTTTTGGGTTTCATGGGGGCTAAAGGAAGAAGTAGGTACCAGTTCTTAAGACCAGTGAGTAGCATGTTACAGATGTGTTTGGAAAAGTCCATGGCCATTTATTGCAGGTGCACATGAAGTACATACTGTGCATGGTTGTAGTGTGGTGTTGTAGTGTATGGGAGCTGAATGATAGCACTAGGAGGTGGTGGGTGGAGATTCCTACTTAGTTAATTAAGATGTTACTGGCTTGAGCATCTGAGCTTGCCAAATTTGAAAGGCTCTTTTCTTTGAATAAAAGAAAATTAAAGTCTTTCACCTTTAGTTTGTAAATGAAGTATTTAGGCATAGAACTGCTCACCTCAGAGTTGGTGTAGAAAGGCCTTCCAGTGAAGTTAACTGTAGAATGACTGAATAAAACCAGTTTCCCTGGTGGTTTTCCAGTGGCCCAAGGACAATATTTTTTTCTTGCTGGGGCTTGATGGAGTTGGACTTGATGATCTTTAGGGGCCTCTTCCAGCTTGAGATATTCTGTGATTTGTGGTTTAAAGACAGGGTAGACTGACAGCCACGTGGAAGGGTAGAGGAGGGATTGACAACACTAGAAGAACCGTGAACAGTTTTATGGACATGTCAGCTTGAGTCACTGTCATCACATTGTAGAAGCTCATCTTTAAGAGGAACCTGAAGATGGGCAGAGTAGCTGAAGATGGGCAGAGTAGCAACTTTGCATAGGGGTTCAGAGAGGCTCTGCCATGCTTTTTCAGCTAGCACAAAAAGGTGATTGACAGAATAAAAGGCTAAAATAAGCTTGCTTTTTGAAAGATAAAGGATGGCAAAAGGCTTTGTCAAGCTATTAGCAGCAGATGGGAAGTGTATTCTGCAGGCCAGTACTGAAGGTTTATTTATAAGCATCTTACCCTTACAGTTGAGTGGCACCTGGTTTAGGTGAAATTTCGTGTTTGAGATCCTGGTTTACTTGGCCTCAGGAATAAAGGGGTTTGGCTGAAGCTCTCTTGATGATGGTTAGTCAGTTGTTGGAGATGGTGCTGCTTATTGAAGAAGTCACCTTGGCTGTTTGCTGGGGATGTGAAGGCAGCAGAGATGCAGCATGTGAATACTTCTCATCCATGTTATTTGAGGCAGGGGAAGGTAACCTTTCTCCCTTGAAGTTGGTGAAGAGCTCTTGTATGATCTGCCAGCTCTTGGGGATGCATGGCAATAATAATGCCCAGCTTGAATGTGCTGCTTTTCCATTTGGCTGTCAGCTTTTCAAGCTGGCAGAACTTCTTTCTTAGTTATTGACCAACAACTGCCTTAATGGCCCTTCCAGCGCCTACAAGCGTAGCTCCAGAGAGGGAGCTGTGTGCGGGAGTTCAGGAGGATCTTCCTTGAAAAGGGATGAATACCTGTTTGCTCTCTGTGACTTTTAATTTCACCAAGTCCCCTGCTGTACTGTGCAGCTCTGTCTCCAGTGATCCCAGCTGCTCTACTGGGTCTTGCTGGATATCACTTCTCACTGCTCTCTTCCCTTCTTAGGACACTGTTTAAGGAGAGCAGGCGTGTACATGGACACCTCACATCAGTCCTGTGAGTATCATGTAGCATTCCTTTGGAGTGATAACTGGTGAACTCCATTCCCTGGGGCTTGGGTGGATCACACAGGAGCACCAGAGCTTGCTTGGCTCCCATCAGATAGTTTGGCGCTGCTTCATTTGGGGAGGTCTAGGAAGGGTAGTTGTTTGTGTGTGACATCTCCCAACAACAGCCTTCCTGAAGTGCTTTAGCCTTAGAGTAAGTTCATAGAGAAGAATGTTGAAGCCAGGTTGCCTCCTGGCCTTGTTCAGCAGACTGGAGTCTGTGCTAGTCCCTGGGAGGCATATGAAGGTAAAGTGGAGTGTGGTACAAGCAGTGTGATTATTGCTGCTTGTTCAGTCGCTCTGATTCTGGATTCCCTCTTTCTTGTTGCCTGGTTGAACAAGGGGTGCAATGAGCTCAAAGTAGTGAAGATGGGTGCAACAGGCTTCTGGGTGGCAAACCAACAGTGCCCTCAGAATCCGGCTGGGCAAGTGCTTTAATGCCAAAGTGTCTCATGGATCTTGCTATAATAGATGATACAGACTGAGGCTGATGTCTGTTGGACAGGCGGTCCTTTTTGCGGCACTGGGTAAGCGAGGGGAAGTGTGAGGAACAGTAGGAAACAGTTAGTAGGAAATCTTTCCCTCAGCCATACCATTACAGCAGTTCAGGGATGCTTTGTACGAGAGGTTGCATCTGACCAGACCAAACATTCTATTTTGTGTGAATTTGGCAGATGCTTTTTCATCCTTGACTTCTTCCAGGAACCTTAAAGAAATGTGTAACTTTGCTTCAAACCAGTCTCTGTATCACTTTCTCTATGGGTATTGCTGTAGTTAGGCCAGCAGTGGGTTCCTGCAGTAGCTCTGAGCCGTGGAACTGGTGCAGGATGTGTCTCTTGAATGTTTGCACTGCTCTGCTGCTGTTTCAAGACTCTGCTCCGCTCCCTGATTCATTCCCCTGTGTGGGAGTTGGGGCTTCCTAGAGCAGCAACCAAATGTGATGTGGTTTTGAATCCTAGCAACCTGAGATGCAGCCTCTGTTCCCTTGGTTCTTTGCAAAAGCCTCAGTGGATCTTAACTAACAGGGCTGATATGTAATCCCTCCTAGGACGCTTCCCTCTGGGCATTCAGTGAAACTGTGTTTCTTTTGTCTCCCGCAAAACAGGTCGAAGAAGAAAGTTATAGCTTCTACTAAAGTGAAAGTGAAGGTGAGTTCTTTGTTTTCTGGTTCTCTTGGTTGACATATACCAAGAGTCAAGTGACTGCTATCTTAAATCCTGTATTTGAGCTTTGTATTTATACATTGTATAAAAGGAGTTTGTACTGTGAAATAATTCTAGTCAATATTGGCCTTGAAAAAACAACTAGAAGAGCAGCTAAAATTGATGGCAGCAGCAGCTGGGAGTGAGGCGAGTGACCACGGAACATGCTTATCCTGCCTTTTATCCCCAAACCAGGATCCCTTCACTTTCCAGCAGGAAACCCTGCCTCTATCCTGACTCTGCCTTCTCTTGTGACTTTTGTTCCAGGAATCTTCCTGCAAACCAGATAAAAAGATGTCACTTTCTGTTCCTTTGATGCACTCAAGCAACACCTTAGCTCTGTCTTCAGAGCCCCAGGGGGGAGCTTTGGGCATCAGTGCCCAAACCAGAGAACTTTTGTCCCTTGGGACAGCCCAGGCAGCCAGCAGCACTGGCACTCCCGCTACCTTCATGGATGACTCCTTGGATGAGGACTTAATTCATAATCCCACTTCCTCGCTCGAAGCAGTCTCTAAGGAACTGGCTGTGCTGAACAGCAGAGCAGGAGGGAGTCCTGACTTTACTCTTCCTGGGGCTCTAAAAGCTCCACCAGAAAAGATCCCATCCTCAGAGGAGAAGAGGACGTTTTCAAAGTCCAACCCTTCCCCTACATCATCCTCTGGTTCCCTTCAGTCTCCTCTAAACTTCCTGGCTGAGCAGGCCCTGGCATTGGGCCAGTCTTCTCAAGACAAAAAGACAGAGAACTCTAATTACAAAGAGCTCTCCTGCCAAGCCTCCCCCAGCAAAATCCTTCCTGATGCACACCAGGCTAAACAGAAACACCACAGTCTGGTCCGGCCAGGCCACGGCCCTCAGACTTCTGCGCCAGTGCCGGCTTCTCAGGTGAAGGTCTTTCACTCAGGCAGCCAGGTACAGAAAACATTCACCTCCCCAGCTCCATTTGTCAAACTGCAGAATCCCAAGTCCTCCTCCCCACTGCCCCAGCGCTCTCTCCTCCAACAGGTCAAGTCATCAACCAAAGCTCAGAGCTTCCATTCCTCTGCATCACCAGGCAGCACCCAAAACTCAAGCAACTCCCACAAGAGCCCAGGTTCATCATCATCACCTCTCAGCTACACAGGAAAGCATTCAAGTGGCTCTAGCTCGTCAGGACAATCTTACAAATCACCTTTCGTTTCTGGTTCTCTCTCCAAGCATGGAGCTTCTTCTAGCAGCTCCTCATCTGGAGCTTCTGCAAACCAGGGCTGCTCCTCTGGGAGCTTGCTGCACAGCGTGCAGACACCCTCCTCGGGCCAGGCATCCAGCCGCCCGTCCTCAAGCTCCTCGGTGAAGAAGACACCTGTTTCACAGAAGCTGACTCTGGTGGCACCTCCGGGAGGTTCAAATGGAGATTCTAGTGGGGGCACTCAAGGGGTGGCCAAGTTGCTGACCTCCTCCCTCAAGCCAGCTGTCGTTAGCAGCACCGCATCTTCTACCTCTGTGCCGGTAAGCAGGGCTGTGCTAGGCCAGCCTGGAGCCAGGGGAGTGTGTGGCGTTGTGTCAGGCACATCCTCCTGTGTTCAGACCTGCTGTAAAGCATTGACTTCAGAAGAATTTCCTGAAATTCCTGACTGACTGTCTGGATCTTGGATGCTTAGGCTGGGAAGTCCTGGCCTTTGCCAGGGGCTTGCATGCCACAATTCCAGCTTTCATTTTCAGCTTTAACTACTAAGCAAAATACCTTCCAGACTGCAGTTTTTGCATAGGCTGTCGAATGTTCTTGCTCTGCCTTTGAGACTTCCAGGAGCAGCAGAATTCCCATTTGGGTCAGGAGAAGTGCAGTAGGGCAAGTCACCACTAGAGCTAGAAATCATTGCATAAACTAAAATGATAGTGATCGGTTTGCTGTGAATTAGGTCTGCAAGCTTGACCTTTCTTAAATTATTGCAAGTAATCGTAGTATTATTGCCACTTTTTTCATGACAGACCTATAGAATAGCCTCTGATTCTGGGCTATAAACTCAAATCCCTGCCCAGCTTTGGTGGTTCTCTCTGTCCCTTTCCTGTTGCTCCATGTTACTTCTGTAAGCTACTGAAGTGGTGTTTGTAATTGAGCTCAGTGGCGCGCTGTGGAATGCAGGGTCTCACAGTTCATGGGGTTGTGTCTCCTGAAGGACTCCTGGGTTACCTCTACAGACTCATGTTTTTCAGCCATTGGATTTAATGGTATAAGTGCCTTAATTTTCACCTATAGCAAAAAAGGAATCTTAGAATCAAGCAGGTTGGAAAAGACCTTTAAGATCCTCAAATCCAACCATTCCCCAGCACTGCCAAGGCCACCACTAAACCATGTCACTGAGGGCCTCATCTACACGGTCTGTGAACACTTCCAGGGAAGGGGACTCCACCACTGCCCTGGGCAGCCTGTTCCAATGCCTGAGCACTGTTTGGGGAAGGAATTGTTCCTAATATCCAGTCTAAACCTCCCCTGGTGCAGCTTGAGGCCGTTCCTAATGCTGTCATAATAATTTGTTGTTGGCTGTTCATACCTGTCTTTGGTAGCACATGGAAAGAGCTGAGCAATTAAATGCATGTATTTAAATGGCCCTGAAACCCATATGCTGCTCAGCCTATGTACCTTGATTGTTACTGAGGTAGAGGGCTGAAAAACACTCCCCTATGATGTCCTCAACCTTCTGGGGTGCAGGGGTCCACCAAACCTTGGTGCCTTGAGTTATCAGCAGTGATCTGCTGCCAAAACGGAGTAGGAAGCATCCTCCCTGGAACTCACAGGCTTTTCCTCTGCCTAATGGAGACACAGGTCCAGAGTAAGGAAGCAAGAGTTTAATCCAGTACAGTCCCATTCAGAAGAGCTTAGATAGCATGTATGATGTGTCCTGGGCATCTGCAGGGTTTGTAGCTCTTGGGTTCTGGCTGGGAAGGTGGATTCTTGCAAGGAGGAATTCTTGAGCACTCCATGTTTTGCAGCTCTTTAAGTATGGATGATGCTTTCCCACTCCTGACTGACCTTTTTTGTTGCTTTTCAGAAAGGAACTAGTGGAGCTGTGCTGCTAACAAGTTCTTCCTCCTTAAGTGTACTGGCTCCATCCTACAAGTCCAGCAATCCAAAGCTGCCAGCTGCCCTGAGCTCCACGCCGTTAGGTATTATCTCTCCTATTCATTCCTTCCCTCTTCATGTCATCTCCTTCAGTTCAGACTCCTCCCCAAAAGCAGGAGTATCAAAAGATGCAATAGTTACAGGACCTGCTCCAGGAACTTTCCACCATGGCCTTGGCCACAGTGAGTATTCTCCTGGTCACATGTGTGTACTGCTTGTGCCTGTGCTGTCAAATAACACCACCACCAGTGCTCTGCTGCATTAACCCGTTGCAGACCAACTCATCTCTCTTGCTTTTGCTTCATGCATTTTTATCTGCAGCAGTTGCATTTGGAGAACCTCTGGCACGTCCTGGTAGCTAACCCAGAAATCCCAGTAGCTGGAAGCTGAGCTATAGGCAGCTCCTCTGCTCGTTTCTGTCTTCAATGCATATTTGTTCCTGTTTTCCCCTGTCCTTTCTTTGTTTTTCTCTCTAGGTCTTCTAGCTGGCTTGCACTCCAGCCCCCACCATGCCGCGCCACTCCCACACTCTGCCCTGTCCACTCATATACCGCAGAGCTTGCCAGGTAACTTGTCAGTCTGTCGCGGTGTCTCCTGCCTCCTGAGCTGTCCTCTGTCTCAGCAGATGGTTCATCTAGGGGTGAAAGCAAAGTGGTTGTCAGACCAGTGTGGTCATCACTAAAGCCAACGTCCGTCCTGAGGTTCTGTTTCGTTAGCCAGGGCAAACTTGGGCATTTCTGGAATGAGGAGCCCTGTCTGCTTACAGCAAGCATTGGTTCCTGGAGGTACTCAGCTTTGCTGCTTGTGTCATGGTGAAGAATTATCCAGCCAGGATTAAAGCTGCGATGTTTATGCATAGTCTGCCAGGGACTGCTCAGGAATGAATATTTGGGTTTTATAGAGTTTTTTACTGGTGACCTACATAAAACGTGTCAGAGCAGAATGCCCCATGTCTGTGCACTGAGCTAATTGCCTGCATCTCCTTTGCACCAGGTTTGTGGTGTAGATGGAGTTTGCTTTACTTGGTGTGGACAATGGGATGATTTTGCAGTTAAGCCTGAGTGTGATGCCTGCAGAATCAATGCATAAACCAAGAGTAACCCGAAGAACACCTTCTCTGCTTGTAAGTGGAGTCCTGCCTGGTGGGCTGTGCTCATATGTAAATAAGCAGCACCGTGGAGGAAGGAGGGAAGTAAGGGGGATCCATGGAGCACTTAGAAAATTGAAATGCAGGACCAGCAGATTGGGTTCATTTGCTTCAGGGAGTTGCTTTCCCTGTTGGTAATCACTGTTTCTGCTTTCTTAATCAAGTGCTCTTCAGCACTTCAGTGCAGTTCAGTGCTGTCTTGGTGCCTGCTCCTGTTGGATTGTCTCCCTGGGGAATATGGGGCTGCTTTAGGAGTAGATGTGCTACTGCTGCATTAGATGCGCTGGGGTTCAGGTGGCCTCCCATGGACAGCATGGGCTAAAATGCCCTTGGCTGTGGAGCTGCTCTTTGCTGAAGAAAGAAGCAAGTGCTGTGCCCTGAGGAGATCAAAGGATTTGTTGTCTTTGCTTCTTTGGTTGAAGTTGGTCTCAGGTGGGTTGTTACGCTGCTCAGGTGTGGTAGAGCAGAAGCAGCAGCTACTAGCAGCAGTCACTGGTATGACAGCCCCTTCCTGATTGTAAACTCAGTTAATGGAGAGTAAGATAGTTGATTTCAGTTTGAACATGGCTTGTGAAATGTATTCTGTGTCACTGAGGAGTTTTTTGTCCCATTACCTGAGGGAGTTTAGAGTGGTTACTTCACTGTTGCTTCTAACAAAAGAACTTCTTGATGGCCTCCTGCTCTTTAGCAGGATGTAGTGCCAGAAGCTGTGAGTAGACAAAAGGTGACTAGGATAAGTGAAGAAAACCAGATCATTGAGACAGCTGCATCAGGGACCTGCCTTCTCACTGTGTGTTCTCTCATAAAGATTAGTGATCGAGCCTCATGCTGTCATCTCCGGGAACATTACCAGTTGTGGTGTTCTGGAGAAGGACAGTCAATACTGAAGCGACCTCCATAATCTTAAAATGTATTAACTTATATTGTGGCATAAACTGTGCCTGGCTGCCTAAGCAGGTGGCCAGAACCACATTGCTCTGCCTGAAAGCTGTGAGGACTCTGGTGTGTTGGGAGGTTGCTACAAATGCAATACAAATGCTGATGTATCTCATGAAAATGCTTATATGAGCATTCATTACTCAGCACCTGACCAAGGAGCAGTCAGTGCTTGCTTGTGTGTCTCTGCTGCTGGGGGAGGTGCTTGTGTGCTGGTGCTGTGGTGATGATTCTGACTGATTGCTTCAGAAATGTGATGTGCTGGGGCTGAGGTCTTGCATGGAATGGACTGTCCTTGTCCTGGAGAAGAAGCTGTTGTCACACTGGTCGGTGCCGCTGCCGCTTAACTGTGCATCTTGGTACACCCATTTGTTTATCATTGATGATACTTTAATTGCTCCTGGAAAACTTCTGCTTCCTTAAACTTCCTTTTTCTCTCTTCAGTGCATTTTCTCTTTCCCCTCCACTTCTGTTCCTTTATGGTACTTCAGTGATTACATTCCTGTTTCCTGTTCCTGTTTCAGTGGGCACCTAAAGCCTTCACTACAGCAGCAAAGGTGTACTAACAGTGTTATTTCAATCCACTTTCAGATGCAAGGCAGCCAGTACCACATATTTCTAGTTTCCTGAATGGGGAGACATGGTAGAGTGGCTATTAGAGAAGGGCATAGGATAGCTACCAACCAACAATCTGAATCTATGCTGTGGTGCCTTTGCTGGGAGGCCACAGAAGACCCTCAGTGCTTCCCAAGTCCCTAACTCAGGTGCAGAGGCAGGGCTGCTCCCAGTTGTGAGATGTCTCCAAGCACATCCTCTCACCCCAATTCCTTGGAGCTGGTAGGCAGAGGGAGTTCTTTCTGTGCAGAGGGATCTGGCTGCCCTGGCTGTACACAGCTCTGTGGACCTGATGCTCAATCCCCTTCCCACTTGGTTTTCTTTTCTTTCAGATGCTTCTCAGCTTCATGGCAAAGGGTCCAATGCTCAGCAGCGCAAATTGTGATATCTGCAAGGAGCATAGGATACAGCATGCATAGGATAAAGCCAAGAGGAACAGATCATGGACTTTAAATACCGGCTGTGTCTTTGGGTTTTTTCCCTCCTTTCTTTTTCCCTTCATGACAACTGGAGACTGAACCACAATGAAGAGCTTGTTGGTGTGTTGGCTCAGAGGCACTCAGAGCTAAGCCCCACACAATGGCCACCTTGCACCATGCCCTAATGAGAGATGCATTTTGTAGCACTGTTTTATTGCTGCTGCCCTTCATGCATTCCCTGGCACTGGCAGGAGCTGGAACTCGCAGGGAGACGCAGGTGGCTCAGCTTCTTGCAGGGGATTCTCACCCACCTCTGTCTGTACCTGCCAAGTACCTCCAAGTCCAGTTACCTCCTTGGTCTCCCAGTGGAGGGTATGGAAGGTGCTTCTCTCTTCTGATTTGGATTTACTTGGATAATTCTAGCGCTGCCAGTGCTTTCTGAAGACGTTTGAGGAACTGTTCAATTGTACTATAAAACACCGCTACAGTTCAATGGAGAACTTACATTTCTTGTGTGGTGAATCTAACAAACCACCTGATGTTCCCCTCTGGAGGAGATGGAAGACTCTTTAGAGAGACATTTTTAGATGCAGTCATTGACTCTGAGAATTCTCCTTTTGGGTTTTGGATTTTTTTTCCTCCAAAGGAATGCTTTTTTCCTGCTCAGTTCTATCCTCATTACCATCGAACGCATTGGATTGATTCGGACATCTCTCAGCATGTCACGTGTATAGGAAGACATAATTCCAGTGCCTTTTATGGTGGAGCAAGAATGGACTAGCGACACACATTTCAGCCCTATTTTGTGTGCTCCTTAACCCTTTTTTAATCATTCTGTATTTAAAATGTATTCTGTTTATTTAATAGAGCTTTTTATGGTTGCACATCAAAAAAGAAAAAAAAAAAAACAAAAAAACACAAAAAGCTGCACTGTCTGGACTTCAGTGGTGTCCTGGTGCCTGTGAACACAGCACCAAACTCAGCAAGAGCACCAGTTTGTAGCTGAGGACGTGCAGGTGGGTTCCAGACCCTCCCTTAAAGCCATTCTTTCCTAGGGTCGCCAGTTAGGATATCTTTGGTGGGCAGAGGGAATGATCTATATTAACCAAGGTCAAGTGAATTCCAGAGAATAATACTGCTTTCCTTAATGACTTCTGCACTAGGATCATGTGCTTGTTGCAGCTGCAGGAATGGGACCTTCTAGAACTGGGGGGTCTATTGTCTTGTGAATTTGTAACTTTCAGACCTGAATACTTCTCCTGAGCACCCTTTCAGTCAGTGCACTAAGGGCAGGCTGTGGATCCAGCGGAGCAATGTGGGGTTTGATTTTCTGCTCTCCTCCCAGTTTGCCTTTGCTCAGCCTCCCCAACCCCCAGCCACATCTGAATCGTGCAGTAGTAGTGCTGATCCACATGGACTTCACTGGTATTTCAAGCAAAAGGTTGCAGCCTTCCTTTGGGAGCTTTGGGAAGGATGCTGACATGGAGTATACCAGCAGATCTTTAGTTTTCCCTGGTTTTGACTGTTTTCAGTTTGAGCTGATAGATAATTCCCCAAGATCAGTAAATAGAATAAGCAGCTCAGATTTAAAATCTGTTTACAGAAAATACCTAGGTTGTAGCAAAAGAGCCAAAGACAGAACTAGATATTAAAACTAAGCACAGCAGTTATTGATGGACTCTGAGCAGTGGATGTCGCATGGTTCTTGCTGAAGGCCTGATCCTGCTTCCCCTGGTAGCTGACAGAGTGCTCAGATACCTACAGGATAGGGACCCTCAGCAAGTGACTTGAGGTACTGGTTCTACTCCTCTTTGCTTTCACTTGACTGCTTCTGCTGGGAAGCACCATGTGCGTGGCTGGAGCAGAATGCCCTCCTTCTAGGAATTTAGCGAAGCCTCTTGCCTCAGGGAAATGTTTCTTTGGTGGAATTTCTGTGGGATATTTTTTCTTTACATGCTATAATGAATGAGTGAATGGGATGGAGCAGAGTCATGGCAAGGCAGAACTGTGCAGAGGCCCAGCAGTGGATGGGAGCCAGGATTCTGGCATCTCTGCCTTGAGAGGCAACTTGCAATGCTCCCGTGGCATGTGCTTCAGACAGCAGCTCCTTTTGGGTGTAAGAGCTGCAGGTTACTATGGTATTTTTTAGTGTGTCGGGGACTGTCTTGCTGAAGATGGTGGGGGTGGTATGCAAACTGTTCATCTTGTACAGAACAACTGAATAAATTGTTTCAAAGTTTCCAAAATGCTTTTTTTCCCATCTCCTTACCTCTAGTTTCATGATTCTGTTTTCAAGCATTTCAGCTTGGATGATCATCTGTTTCTTGATTAATTGTTTTAACTAAAGTCTCTTACGTAGTAGGTAAACTACAGCTCTGTTTCTAGCCATGGTGGTGGTAGATTTCCATATTCTCATACAATGTGCTCCTGATGGTGCTTGAAGTTGACATGTGCTGGAAAGAACATGTGTGAGGTTCAGCCCCTGCAGCAGCAGTGTGATCCTGCGAGACACTTTGATTCACAAAGGTAAAATAATGGTGTTAATCCCCAGAGCCTGGTGGATGTGCAGTGAATGCTTACAGCTGCTTTTGGTGACAGCAGAGTTTCATAGAATCACAGAGTGGTTTGGCTGAAAGGGACCTTAAAGCTCACCCAGTTCCAACCCCCTGCCACGGGCAGGGACACCTTCCACCAGACCAGGTTGCTCCAAGCCCCATCCAACCTGGCCTTGAACACTGCCAGGGATGGGGCAGCCACAGCTTCTTTGGGCACCCTGTGCCAGCGCCTCAGCACCCTCACAGGGAAGAGCTTCTGCCTAAGAGCTCATCTCAATCTCCCCTCTGTCAGGTTAAAGCCATTTCCCTTTGTCCTGTCACAGTCCAATCCTTATCTGTTTACTGAGGCTTGGGTATTAGCTGAAATTTGGGGGAAAAGAATGTGCTCTAGATGTGGAAGCTCCTGCTACCAACCCTGTGTGATTCCCTGTTTTCCTGCAGCTGCAGGTCCCATTTCTTAGCGCACTTCACTCTCATCTAATACTAATTAGTCCCAGCTTTAATGCTGCTCCAGCAATTTCTCTCTTGGAAAAAAGTCAACAGCTAAAATGAACAGTGTCGGTTTTTAACTTTGACTCTGAAGTGCCATCTTCTTGCAAAGCCAAAGATGAACAGACTGTGTAACCAAAAAAGAAAACCCAACTTCTGATTGGAATCACTGCCTTTTTATTTTGTACTATAAATAGAATTCCCCTCTATTTCCCATTGCCTTACACGAGTAAATGAAACATGTAGATGCATGTAACTCCAGCCAGTAAAATACCAGCAGAAATGGCTTTCAACCATAAGGTGAGTGAACTGTTCCGAAGGCACTCTGCATTTGGGTACAGCTGCTTGTTCTACATGACCCTCTCATGTTGGGCAGTACTGCCGCCTCTTCACATACTTTTTGTTGACCTCTCTGGTCTGTGAATGCTCCTCCTGGATCTGTAGCTGACGCCGTCAAAGTACGTCTGCTTCACTGTTCCCCAGCAGCACAGGCACGTAGGTGAACAAGATGATGGTGTTCAGGTGTTGGCATGGTGGCACTGAACTGAGATGCATAGCACACCTTTGTTTTCACACAGCTGGTGTTCTCAGAAAGTGATCCCATCATTCATAGTGAGTTGTGCACGATGAACTGTCTGGTTTACCAACATGCAGCTGATGGAACCAGCTCCTGCTGGTCACTTCAGTGTCGCCTTGACTTTCAGTCCCTAATGACTGCTATGTACAACTTTTTATGTGACTACAGAGGAAACTGCAGATTCTACCGAGTCTTTGGACTTCAGGTACTTCGCTGTCCTGAGGCTTTTGTCTTAGGTTTTGTTAGGTTGAGTGAGTAGGTATGGATGAAGAGGGGTAGAAGGTTTTGCTGTTGTCCTGACAAACGTGTTCTCTACTGCTGGTGGTGCTTTTCTGCAGTGTATGACAGCAAGCAGTGTGGCTTCGTAGCATGGCTGGGGCAGAGGCTCTAGCATTTTGGAAGACGCAAAGGAGGGCAAGGATTTGCAGTGATCTGGTAGGTAACAACTGGTGCAGCTCTGATCAGCTGCTCTTCAGGAAAGTTTCTAAAGTGGAGGGAGCGCTGTGTAGTTACTTCCCGACACCAAGACTGCCAACTCCTGGATCGACATCTCCTTGTTGAGGTAACTGTTGTACTGAGCCGTGGTTAGCCTCCCACTCTTCAGGGCATCCTCAATTGAGAACTCTCTACCAGACTTCCTGTCAAGGATCACAGACGATTCCCCATTGGGACCCTTTATTGAGATCTCCTCCCAGTCACATTCCTGGCTCTTCAGTTTGACAAACAGGCTCCACTCAATGAGGCCAAACACATGAGCTTCCTCTGGAGACATTTCTTTTCCTGTATCAGGGTCAATGACCACAATGGAGCGCCTCAGGTGGTTCTCTCTTTGTTCCCTCTTGATAGCCACTGTCTTGAGGCGATTTTGGAGTTGCTCTATCTCTGCATCTTTTTCTCTGGATAACTGCTTCAGATCATCTAACTCTCTTTCCAAAGCTTGGAATCTGGAGTCTAGGTTTATCGAACTGTCCACGTGGGTCATGTTTCTCAAATCCTGAGCTTCTGTTGCTGTGAGTTCAATCTCTGACTGCAATCTTCTGGTTTCCATCAGGAGGTTCTGTTTCTCAAGGTGTAGTTTGTGGTTCTCCTCCCTTAGTAAGTCTAGCTCCTTTGACGACTTGGAGTTGTTGAATTCCACCTCAGACAGCCTGGTTTCAAGGCGATTAATATCTGCATCTAACTCCCTCTTACGCCTGCTTTCTTCCTCCAGATTGCTCTTCAGCTTTTGAATCTCGTACTCAGTGTCTCCTTTGTCCACTTGGACACTCTCTGAAAAGACCACTTTCTCTTTGACCTCCATCTTCTCCAAAGAAAGGAGCTTCTTTCTCAGGGCTTCTAGTTCAGTTTGCAGGACTTGTCTCCGGTGCTTCTCTTCTTCTAGCTCCAGCTTGAGGAGAGAGTGTTCCTTCTCTTGCTGGGGATCTTGCTGAAGGATCACTTTTTGTTTCACAGTTACTCGTTCTGTTGTCTCCCTTTCCTGTTCTTCCAATTCATTCAGCCTAATTCTCAGCCTCTGCACCTCCAGCTCGGCCTCTCTGCGTGCCTGTCTCTCTTTCTCCAGTTCTTCGAGCTGACGCTCCAGCTCTGACCGCCTCCTCTGCAGCTTGCGGAGCTCCTCACGGAGGCCGTCAATCTGCCTCAGCTCACTCTCAATGCTCTGAGAGAAAGAGTTGACTTCTGCTTTCAAGGCAGGATCTTGCTCATATTTCACTACTTCCTGCTGGACCACTTTCTCCTTCACTTGGGAGAGCTCTTCCTCCTTCTGTCTTACTTTCTCTTCTTGAAGAAGGCGCTCCCTCTCCAGGTCAATGTGTTTCATCTGTTCATCTGCTAATTGCACTCTCAGGGACTCGACCTCCTCTCTAGTCCTGGGGTCTTCCCGAAACTGCAGAATTTCTTGAACAACTTCTTTCATATGCACTTGAGGTTTGGTGTCTTTCAAAGCCTGTATCTCTTGTTTCAGCTGGTAGATTTCAAGGTCAGCTCTTTCAATTGCTCCTGTCCTCTCGATTATTTCCTCCCGGAGTCGCTGTAGCTCCTTTTCAGTTTCTGGATCATTCTTGTACTTAATGACCTCCTTAATGACTTCTTTGACTTCTACCAGTGGCCCTCTGTTCCTCAGAGCAGCCAGCTCGTTCTGGCAGCTCTTCAGCTGTTCGTCACCACCTCGGTATTTCCTCTCCTGTTCTACCAGCTCCAGACGAAGGTTGGCAACTTCATTTTCAGCCTTGGGATCTGGGCGCACAATCTCACGCACTTTCTCCTGGACGACCACCTTGGAGTTCTCTTCCTCCAGCAGCTGGATCTTCCTGAGCAGCTCAGCCTTCTCCCTCTCATTGGAACGACCCTTGGACTTCTCATCTTCATATTGGCGCCGGAGCTCATTCACCTCTCTCTCGATGGCCAAGTCTTTCTCTACCTTCAGCACCTCCTTGACGGTAATTTTGCCCTCGGCGATGGCCCGCTCCTTCTCGAGACGTTTGAGCTTGTCTTGGAGGAAGCTGAGCTCTTCCTCGTGCTTCTGCCGAAGGGCGCTCTCCCTCTGCTTGCTCTCTTGCAACATCCGGAATTCCATCTCCAGCTGGGGATCGTTCTGCAGCTTCAGCACCTCCTTCTCTGTTACCTTCTCCTGCTCTTTGTTCTTCTCACTGGACAGCACAGCGATTTGTTGGCGTAAGAGGATGACTTCATTCTCTCTAGTTCCTTCCTGCCTCCTGAGCTCTTCCAGTTCTTCTTTGAGCTTCAGGATTTCATCAGCTTGAGCTTTGTCTTGTTCAATACGCAGTACCTCTTTCACTATATACTCCTGCCCTCCCTCCCTCTTCTCGTGCTCCAGAACATGCAGCCTGATTTTAAGAGCCTCCAGCTCATCCTGAAGGACCTGGTTCTTGCGCTGCTCTTCAGCCAGGTTTTGCTGCAGTTTGTGGAAGCTCTCCTCCAGCTGAGGGTCAGGTACTTTCTTCAGCAGTTCTTTCTTAACGACAGTTTCTTGGGGCTTCTGGTTTTGCAGGTGGACAATGTTGCTCTGAATGGCTTTGATCTCTGCTTCTAGCTGCTGCCGACGCTGCGTCTCATCTTCAAGTTCCTTTTTCAGCTTCCAGACTTCTTCCACAGGCCTTAGGGATTTTTTGCTCTGGACAAAGTCTTCTGTCACTTGAACCTCTGGTTGCTGTTGTTGAGAAAAGAATGTGTAGTCAACAACTACCAAACAATCATACTTTTGGTGCTCATTTTCAGTGCCTCCTGTGACAATATGACAGGGGGCTGTTGAGCTCGCTTTACGGCGGTTGCCTGCTGCCAATGCTGAACAGGGGGTATATGCAAACAGGCTGCCCTTGAACAGATGTGTGAACTCCCAGCATGAGAACTGCTTTTGCAATGCCCACTGCTGTCAGAACAAAGCTTTTAGCCACAAGGGACACTAATGCTGGCCTGGTTTGGCAAAAGTGTTAAAAATGATGCAGAGCTTCTTAGGGTGAGTGGGAGATGGGGCTGAGAAACACAGAGGGGTTGTCTGCCTGATGTGTCTACTGATTAATGATTGGGGGCTATGAAACACTGCATTTGTTTCCAGTTCAACTCGTAACACAAAGGCACACGTGTGTATTATTTCCATGCCTCCTTT